ACTAGGGATCTAGCAAAATACAATCCTTGTCAACTAAAGAACTAAAACACCCAATCCTGGGTATTTTGCCTTTGACTTCATTGTGAGCAGGCGGAGCCTAAAATTAATAGCCAACTAAAAAATGATTACAATTGAGAGCCAATATATGGTTAACAACAATATATATAACGATAGTAGGTTCCAGAGCAGGCACTTCAATAGTCAGGTTTCTGTAGCTGCGGTAGAAGAGTCATTTTCTAGGTCACTGGTCCGTGAGAATTTAGCAAATATAAAATATTTGTGAACTCTGGCAGCACTGCTTACATAGTATTCCCATCTGGCCAATAGAGAATGATATCTATGTGACCTCCAGAGAAAGCCATTCCCTTGTCATCTGTGTTGCTGCAATGTTATGTGGGGAAATCTGGATGAGAAAATAACATAAAAGATTAGCTCTCGGAAGTGAGATAGTCACTGCAGCGTATCCAAATGATCTGTGGGAGAGACTCCTCAGTACAAGAGGTTGGCCTATGAAAGGCAGAGTGGGTGGGAAATGTTTGGAGCAGTATTTGTGAAAAAAACAGTCACTAAAACAAAACCTAAATGGAACTGGAAACAAATAGCCCTTTATGTGTTTAACATGCAGCCTATACTTCTTTACCACCTGATGAGAATAACTGGCAAAGCTCCTCTAACAGTTTGTTTTGCCCTCCTGGCAGAAATAACATTGTTATGTTAATAGTCCTTTCACTTGAATGCCATGGTGCTCTGCTGGCTCTGAATGGAAGGAGTTTTGAAGGAGGAGGAATTCCCACCCATTTTGCAGTTTAAGGCTTTCTTTGGTATCTTGATGCTTTCCTAATGTCTTGGAGCTATGTATTTTTGAAAAGTGAGGTGATTTCATGCCCTGAAACACTGCTGAGGCTCTAGTCCTTTGTTTCTTTCTTCCGCTCACCATTTTGTGTCTTCTTTGCCCTACTGTCCTGCATCCCCAGAACCGCCTCCCTTCTCCTAGGCACCAATGCAGCACCCTTTTCTGCTTCAGGGCCCACCTTTGAACAGTTCTCCCCTTCCTTTGTTAATCTCATGCCCACGTTAACTACTCCCTCTCTCATGCCTGCCGTAATTGTTTAAAAACAGCAGCACAAGAAGGGAACCCGGTATTAACCCGGACAGACCGGTATTTTTGCCTCTTGTCTGGTAAAAAAATTCAGAGAATACCAGACACCTAAAATGTCCATTATTTTCTGATTTTTTTCCCCGGCCAGGAGGCAAAAATGCCGGGCACTGGGCAACTCTACAAACACTCAGCACCCGGCTTCCCCCCCTCCCCCCCTCCAAGCCTCAAGAAGGGAACCCGGTATTAACCCGGACAGACCGGTATTTTTGCCTCTTGTCTGGTAAAAAAATTCAGAGAATACCAGACACCTAAAATGTCCATTATTTTCTGATTTTTTTCCCCGGCCAGGAGGCAAAAATGCCGGGCACTGGGCAACTCTACAAACACTCAGCACCCGGCTTCCCCCCCTCCCCCCCTCCAAGCCTCTT